TGTCAAATCAATGTCCAATGGTCCCATGAATTCCCATACATGCTCAGTAACTGCCTGGCCACAAGTTAGTCAACTCCCTTATCTCTCCTCTCAAATGGAGAGTGGCAGAACTGTGTAATGAAACCTTTAAAACTGAATCTGGTTGAATTAATTCGCAACAATACTGAAGTGAAACTAAAGAGTCCTCCTCTTGCTGCCTCTCTGATTTTTCCTTCCTTCTGGAACTGTCATGAAAAATAATACTAAAATCTGTCACTTCATGTAAATTTTCTACATGATACAGAACCACAGTGACAATGCTGAGGGCAGAAAAGAATTTCTCTATTTAAAACAATTCTATCTTTGCACTCTTGGGCATTTCTGATCTGTAGACTACTTTTCCTCAGTCCTCCTCTTCCCTTTTTTGTTGCTAAAATGCAAAACACAAAAGTCTTTGTCACCTCTGTCATTGAAGTAAAAGATCCCGTTTCTGAGAAGACAAGTTATTTTTGTAGCTGAGCAAAGCACAGCTATGTCTAGACCAGAGTTGGAAACAGCAGCTGACAAAGAAAACCAGAAAGGGCATGGCAAGTTTATAGCAAACGCAGAAAATACAGGCCAAAAAATGCACACAATGTCATTATCATTAAAATAATTTTATTTTTAAAATATTTTCACTTCATTCTCATCCTGAACAGCTGGTGATATCTGTAAGTATACTGTAACTATAAACATATACACTATGCCAATCTGTATGGCTAAAGTAAATGTTCAGTGCATTTGATGAAATCACACACTTGGAGTAACTGCTGGTTTTCCACTGTGAAAAGCACATTTTTACATATTCCAGAAACTAAGTAAATACCTCATTCCATAAATACTTCAGTGAGTCTTACACTGAAGTTTGCCCACAGGAGAGCTGGCATTGCCTCTGGTGCTAAAATGGCTGATAAAGAACTTAAAATAAATAAATCATTGATGAAGGGTGGATAATCAATCTTCAAACTAGAAATCAAATTAAATGGATTATTTCTAAATGAGTTCATTTTACCGTTGTGTTACATATAAGGCAGCAATTATAGCCCTATAATCTATTTTCATTTTCTTGGCCTTTTATCCAGGACAAATCAAGAGAAGTTAATGTGTTAGATAATGTGCTTCAGTAATATGGCTTGGTTGGTTTGGTTTTAATTGGTCTGTCAATACCTTCCAGAGGCTAAGGATTCTGGAGGTATAAAATATGCATTTTGTGCAATTCAGGTATGCATTTTGTTAAGATGTAGACCTGAAAATTTAGTAGGTTTAGAAATGAAGATTTAGAGAATAATGTGTTCATGTGGCCTAAAGGCTTGTATTATTACTAAGACATAGGACTGCAATGTTGGTATATGTATTGTGTTATGTTAAACAGTGACAAGTTCTGTGGCACCCATACTAGATGACTTCTAGTAGCTCTTTGCCCTTCCACATCATCACAGAGCCTGCAGAACAGGCAGACATGTGGGGCAGGCTAAAGGACAGGCTTTTTGGTTGGACCAGCTGTCCAAAACCCTAATCTAAGTGGTTTTAGGGTTAGGAACCACTCCAGGGGAAAAGGGTGTGGATACACACTGTGGATGCTGTGTCATTCCTCTGAACCCTATCACATGAGAAGTTGCCCTGTGTGCCAGGGTGAAAACAGCCCCCCTCTCCAGCACAACATGAGCTATACCTCCTCTGCTGTTGTCAAGACACTTCCATGCACAAAAGGTGATATGGGAAAGTGAAGTGTGGCTGGTGCTCAGATGCAACTTCTTCCCCCATTCTTTAGGATGTTTCCATGGTCTTTCAGCTGTTTTCTTTAACCATAACACACCATAATAATATGGTAGAGTAATGTGTTTTTCCAATTTCATGGATTACTTTTTGTGAAAACTGGTTCCATAGGTGCGGAGATGGGCTGAAACTGCTCTGCCAAATCCAATGCCCTGGGTGATGGGAAAGCTGAATTTTGGTCTAGCTCTCACACTCATAATTCAGGTCACCTCTCATTAACCAAATGAAATAAAGAAAACAGGAATGCTGGGGGAAGGCAACACTATTGTGTTATATCCTTCAGTGATAAGATGCAAAACAGCTTGGTAGCCAAACTAAAAATTTCTATGGCCCCAAGGAGGGAATATTTGCTATTGCAAAGTTCACTGGTTGCACACATGGACTGCCATGCTGGAGTGCAGGATTTGGGTCCATACCACAAACTTGGTACTTGCTCATGATCCTTTCTCAGTATGTCTTTTGAGAGGGAAATGGGTTCACTTTCATTTGTTTAATTTTAATGAAAGAGATGGCTGTGGAAAAAAACAAGGCTTATTCTTTAATAGTAATAAAAGTAATTATCTTTAACAGCTTATTCTTTAAGCTTATTCTTTAAGCTTATTCTTTAAGTTGTTTTTGTGATGCCTGATTAAAATACTACCTAACAACCCATTTCTATAAATAATTAATATCTTGACTTCAGCAGAGTCTGTGGATGAGGAAAAAAATCTCCAGGATTTGGCCCTGAAAGTGCATTTTCTCCAGGTTAACATTTTTGGTGGGGTTTAGGGTTTTTGTGTTGTTGTTGTTGTTTCTTGGGGGTTTTGTGTGGTTTTGTTTTGTTCTTTTTTTTCTTTAATAAATAGCTGTATTACCTAGATTACTGCCTTTCAGGTCTAGTCTATGTAAACAACTCATAATAATGATTTTGCCTATCATAATGTTTTTCTCCCTAGAATAGTGTTATTAAAAGGCAGATGAAGTACATTACAAATCTCATTACATTTCCTGTAAAGCTAGCATTATATATTAGATATGGAGACATAGATAGCGATACAAATTGCTAAGGGTAGCATCAGTAAGATTTTGCTGAATCTGGTCCTCTCTTCGGAGAGCTCTGCCTGCACAGCAGCAACCATACATGAGGACTGCCACTCAAAAGTCTGTTCCTTCTGCAATTAGATTTTTTTACCTTGTAATTTCTATTCTTATAACATTAATTGGAAAGGCATTCATTGTGGATAACAAGGTGTAAAATTAGTTCTCTTCAATAAATCTTCATTGCCTCCCATAAATCTAGTATATTCAAGTCTTCTGAAACCATTAGTTTTTTTTAAAGAGGTCAATGTATTTATTAATTTCCTGTGTATGAGCCTGTGAATGATAAAATAGGAAACTAGACGTACAAATTCTTCATTCTTCAGATGATGTTGTGATTCTTCTTTTCTTGATGAACTCTAGGGTTTTTAGAATAGAAAGTACATATGAAAAGGAGTGTGGCAGGCTTTTGAACTGAAAAGTACAGAAATTTCCTGATTCTCATAAAAAGCATACCTTTCATTAAGAATTTTTTTAACCTTATCAATAACTTTCAATAATTAAGCTTTTTAATTACCTCATCCAACCATGAGAATATTTTGTGTTAAATTAATAAACTCCTTCTATGGATGTTAATTTAGGCTCCTTTACTAAATGCAATACCCAGCTACGGAAAAGGGTGGACCATAATTTGAATAGTAAAAAATGTATTAATGTCACTAATTCTATTTCAGAAGATACTAAAGTCAGAATGGATTACTGAAAGAAATAACTTTAAAGGAAAGAAGACTTATTATAATTTAAATTGTGAAAAATTCTTAATGCCACTAATTCCCTCTCAATTTGTTTTTGTGTAACAAACCATTTATCATTAGGATCATTGCAGTCAGTTGTGGTGATAAATGGGTGCTGATTAAATAAGTGGATAAATCAAGGCTTCTAGTACTGGGTGTAAGAACAGCACTAAAACCTGTACCTCTATTTTCCTTTTGAGTTCTGCGGCAAAAATTGGTGTCCTTTTTTTCTTAGATATTAGTTCCCTGAACATGTGTTAGTCTGAAGTCTCCTGGCAAACACAGGTCTCATGCAAACTCAGTGACTCTTTTCACCAGTGGTGTACTCTGTGTCTGCACTTCTAGATGCTGTTTAATCCTACTGGAGGATATATTTTTATACATAAGGAATACCTAAGCACTGTCTCCTACTTAAGAAGAGATGAAACAGTTAATTATTTTCTATTGTTTGTATCATATCAACAATAGGAATTTCTTTTTTTTTTGTCTAAAAGCCAGGGATGGAGAGGGCTTTGCCGTTTACAGGCTCCAGCCCATGAAGGTTGAGTGTGGGTTACCTCATTCGAAAGCTTGTTCCCTTCACAAAGCTGCAGACTCAGTAAATGACAGAAAGTAAGCACATCTCTGAAAGATGTGTGGCCTATTTCTCTTCTCTCAAAATAAAATGAAGGAGACCTGCACAAGCTCGTTTTCCTGAAGTCTGGCATCTGATGGAATCCTCTGAGTCTGAAAGGAGAGGGGCTTGTCAAGGCTCAGCTATTACGAGCATTGAGAGCTTTTTTGAACTACTCTGAGCTTTCAGGTTTGTTCGTCATCAAAGAGCTCCACGTCCCTCCTAGCCACTTCTCACAGCAAAAGCTGCAAAAAGAAAGGGAGAATTACTGGAGACAGGTCTGGGATATTCTGATACCTGCGAGAGGAGCTGATGCTATTTTGCTGCTTCTCTGCATCATCATTTCACCTAATATTGTTCCCTTCTGGGTGTCCACGTGTAAGGTACAAAGAGGAACTCCTTTCTATAATCTAAATTACTAATTCATCACCAGCTGTTTCCTACACACATTTTTCTCTGAGGTGGTGGGAGAAAGGGCACAGACATGCCCTTGATGGTGTAATGCTCTCAGGTGAGACATTAGCAGGTGAATCTACATCAGAATTTTAACCCAGACCAGGAACGTAGGTTTGAGGTGATGGTCCTGGTGGTCCCCACTCACTGCAGTGTAGGTTGTGTCACAGCAAAGCCACCAGGTGTGTGAAGGGGATTCCCTGAAGGAGATTAAACCAGATGTGTCTCAGCTGCACACCTAACATGCCCCAGTGTAGACCTGGGGATCAGACTAGCAGTTATTACCCTTAAATTGTGTCGTGTCAATGGCAGGTCCCCAGCATCAGTGGTTTTGTTCTACAAAATCTGTGTTTATTGAGTTTGTAACTTATTAAAGCAGACATAGTCTGTCCAGTTCACATACTGATCATTATGGCAGCTTGTGATCTGTGGTCAGAAAGGTGTCATCCTGCTGGATGGTTTGGCAGGGAGGATCAGAGTATGTCCCTCATTCACAACACAGACCACGATGTACCTTGAAGCATCCATGGGATATCCTGTGACTGCAAGAATTGGAAATGTTCTGAATTTCTCCTAATTTTTCCTCTGCTACATTAAAAGTATCACAATTGGTCTTTTCCTGGCATGAAAAATGGCCCTTTGATTGAAGTCTATGTTGCAGTCAATGGGCACTGGATTCAGTGATCCTGCAGATTCCATCCAGCCCTGATCTCCTCTGCTGCCACCTGTACAAATGCCAGAGAAGAATAGATGAAAACACCCTTGGAGTCAGGACTGTAGATCAAGAACTAATGTTGATGCAGGGTGCTGGACTTGCTTTTTCACAAACTTCTTAGTATGGTGGTCTTCAGCTACCTTAGAAAGCAGAGACTGCTGACATAAACACTGTTTTGCTGACATTGTAAGGAAGCTGATCTTGAGACACAATCTATGTCCATCTCCCGAGCGCTCAGGGCATTAACAATTTTGTAGCTGAGCAATTTCCATTAATTTTGTCCGAGTCTTTAAAAAATGTCACTCTGACTCAGTGTTGCTGGTTTGCTATGAGAGGGAAAATGCCTGTCTTCAGCCTCACTATTTTCAGCAGCCCCATATAATATATCATAAAGAGACTTTTTTTATTCCTAGAAAAGATACTTCTGGAATTTATCTCTCCTGACAAAACGATGCCCAAAGCCAGTGGCATTTCTAGTGTTATGAAGTGGCTTTCCCTCCACACTTTTTGAAAGTGGAAAAGAGTTCTGTCTCCATCAACTGCAATTACTTCATTTCTCTCTTCCTTAACAGAAGCCTTGTTTCCCCATCAAAGCACAATTGTATTTTATGCAACAGGACAAAACATATCAATGAATCTGAAGTGACAATATAATGCAGCTAGAAATTTGCTAAGATCTTTTGTAGTTACCTAACTTTGGAGAATGATAGAAATTACAGTTCATTACAGATGTCCCTCAAACCACTTTCAGCTATGAAGGTGCCAGTCAGCTATGGGATGTCCCTGTGAGCCCCTTGCAGTACCCAGACATACTCTGGACATCCCTGGAGGTGCCCAGTTGCCCAGGAGCTACCCATTCCACCTAGTTTGTCCCCAAGTGCAGCCTCTCTTGACTCTGGCTCTGACACTACTTATATTGTGATATATCCATCCTGGCAGGCTCAATTTCTCTTTACAAATCACTCTTGCAGGTTGGGAAATTGAGAAAGGGCCATTTAGAACAACCTTCTGGTGACTGGCAACCCAAGGATAATTTTACATCTTCCAGTTCCTCCCACTGCTTTTGCAGTATGCACGTGTGAGTCTAGCCCCAAGATGCAGAGGTGTGGTGATTTCTTTGCAAAACTCTTTGTTTTCATCTAATAGTTGCATGTTGCCTGTTATGCAGTGGGTTATTCTCCAGTCTGACCACAAATGAGCTCCTCTCATCTAGAGCAGACCATCCTGTCCACTTGCATGATGAACAGGTCTCTTAAATGCAGTGCAATAGCAGAACATCGTCCTCTTCTTTCTATTTGCCTCTATTTCTATTAGTGCAAACCCACTCTTATTTCCTTAGTATTTCTCTAGGAAATATTCCTTTGAACAACTGCCATCTAGTTTCCTTGTACCCTCCACAGACGTGTCAATATTATAAACTTTCCAAATTCTACTACTTCATTATTTAGCTGGGTATTAACACAGAAAATACAGAAAACAAGACCAGACTAGGCCCTGGGAGGTGATCCAGTCCGTCAGTCTGCCTGAGGCAGGATGACCTGTACTTATGTCATTCCTGGCCTATATTTGTCTAACCTGTTCTTAAAGGAAACTTTTAGCCTTCCTGGGAGCTTAGGAATCTCCCATATGGGAGATTGCCAGCAGGGATATAACCCTACCTATATACAGCTCTGTGGTATGTTGACAAATGCATTCATTTCCCCTTCCTGAGAGCAACCAGACCCTGAAACGCAGGTGAACGTAAGACACCTATGACATCACCATGCTTTTGCCTGTTTTGTTTGGGCTGTGGAAAGAGCTAGGTTGAAAGCTGTGTTCTTCTCCATCTGGACTGTGCTGTGCTCTTTTCCCCCCTGTTAGATGTTCCTCTCCTTTTGTCTGCCATTTAAAAATGGTGGTAAATTTAGCTTTGAGGAGTCAAATAATCACAGAACCAGAGAATATGCCAAGTTGTAAGGGATCCACAAGGATCATCAAGTCCAGCTCCCGGCCCTACACAGGACCATCCCCAAGAGTCACACCATATGCCTGAGAGTATTGTCCAAAATCATTTTGAACTCTGGCTTGGTGCTGTGACCACTTCCTTAAGGAGCCTGTTTCAGTTTCCAACTACCCTCTGGGTGAAGAATTTCTTTCTAATCTCTAACCTAAAGCTCCTCTGACACAACTTCAGGCCATTCCCTTGGGTCCTGTCACTGGTCACCACAGAGAAGAGATCAGTGCTTGCCCCTCATCTTCCCCTCACAAGGAAGTTGTAGACTGCAGGGTGGTCTCTTCTCAGTCTCCTCTTCTCCAGGTTGAACAGACCAAGTGACCTCAGCCACTCCTCATACGGCTTGCCCTCAAGGCCCTTCACCATCTTCGTTGACCTCATTTGGACACTCTCTAATAATCTTATATTGTCATGCCCAAAACTGCCACAATATTCAAGGTGAGGCTGCACCAGTGCAGAGCAGAGCAGGACAATCCCCTCCCTCGACCAGCTGGGGATGCTTTGCCTGATGCCCCCCAGGACACGGTTGGCCCTCCTGGCTGCCAGGGCACTGCTGACTCATAGTCAACTTGACATCAACCAGGACCCCCAGGTCTCTTTCCATGGCACTGCTTTCCAGCATCTCATCCCCCAGTCTGTCTGTATATCTGGGGTTGCCCCATCCTGGTGCAGAATCTGGCACTTTCCCTTGTTGGACTTCATATGATTGGTGATTGCCCAGTCCTCTAATTTGTCGAGGTCTCTCTGCAGGGCCTTCCTGCCCTTGAGGGAGTCAACAGCTCCTACCAGTTTTATGTCATCTACAAACTTGCTTAGTATCCCTTCTATTCCTGCATCCAAGTCCTTTATGAAGATGTTGAAGAGCACAGAACCCAAGATGGAGCCCTGTGTTACCCCACTAGTGACTGGTCACCAGTCTGATGTTATTCCATTCACTGTTACCCTCTGTGCTCGACCTGTGAGCCAATTGCTCACCCACCACATGATGTGTTTATCCAGCTGTGTGATAGACATTTTGATGGCAGCGTCACCAATAACAGTCCATGCTGTTATTCAACACTTCTCCACAGCTAAGGATTCATGTTTGGGTGCCTGCTATGGGAAAAATGCCTCACTGGTTTTACCCAGTGAGCATTTCAGATGTACACTGATAGCTATGTGAGCATAAACGAGACTGGAATAACTGCATGCTTGAAATGTCTCCTTTTCATCTGTGCTTCTAAAGGTTTCTGCCAGCAGCTCCTGAGATCTCTTTTAGCTACTGTAGTTCATAGAATCACAGAACTGCAAAATTGTTTGGGTTGAAAGGGACCTTAAAGACCACCTAGTTCCAACACCCATGCCAGGGGCAAGGATACCTTCCACTAGATCAGGTTGCTCAAAGCCCTGTTCAAGCCCCTTTGCATGTTCTCTCACATGCCTGGAGATCATCAACATCTTAATAAACACATATCTGAGCACTGCATCTTGAAGTCCCAGTCTTTGATGGAAAACTCAGTCTCCTGTCTCTTATAGAGAGCAGAGGGGACACCTTTGTATTTCAAGCTCTGCATTTTGGCATATTATTAACATTTTTTAGCATATTGAAGTAAAAGTAAAAGCAGGAAGCAGTAAAGCTTTATCTCTTTTCCCAGCTCATTTTGTCAGAAATATTTATAGTACTTTGGCCCATAGTATTAATATTACAGGGCTTGGCTGATCCATTTGCATAAACAGGCAGCATGAAGTCATTAAACCAGTCTTGGTCCCACTGTCATGGACATCACATTACATTGCCTTTCCACCTTTTTGTTGTGTGACTTCTTAAAAAAAGTATGTGATAGTATTGCTCCTCAATAGCAACCTGACTTTTGGCTAAAGTGTATAATTTTTTGTTAGTATTTATTAATTGCTATTACTTACATGGCTATTGCAAACTAGTGTTTCGTTATAAAAACAGCTAGTATGACCTGCATTAACCCAGCATAGGTGAGTTCCCAGACAAATTTTTTTGAGAAAACAGTTTATGATATGTTTTGCCTGGAGAAAAAAAATCTGCTCTTAAAGTTATTTGCACCAGTATTTCTTCTGTGTGCAGATTTTTACAATGCACAGTAGCACCGTCATCATGCAAATGTGGTCTGGAAAGGCAACATTGTAGAGTCTGTAGTTTTATTGATTATGTTCAGTTTTAAATTATGGGGTGAAAAACCTAATGTGCAATACCCTGGACTATATAATTTACGCTCTGCAAATGAGGTATAAATGCTGCTCTGCTGGGCCCCATTAATGATTTTTGCACAAGGGTGAATTATTACAGAAGGGGCAAGACAGTATGAACTGCCCTTCCTGTTATAGGCTATTATAATTTGGTTACTCAGTTGTGAAATAAAGAGAGGAAAATTAACAGAGCAGAAATAATTTTTTTTTCTGTGTGTGTGTGAATAGAAACTGGGTACATAGGGAACATTTCTGCAAATGAAAGAAAATGTGCTTTGGTTATATTCAAGACCTTTTTATGTTTCTTTCCCATAAGTGATCTAGCAAATAAGTGCTTTGATTGTAATGTTCATGAGGAAGGTAAATCCCAGAGAAGTGTATGAAGAGTGCATGCTGATTTGCAAAGGGATAGTCATACAGAAAACCCTGTATGAATGATCACTCTTCTCTATCCAGAATACATTGATGCCTCCATGTCAATGTCACCCATAAGAAAATCACCCTGAATGCTGGGCACTGATATTTGATTAATTACTGTTTTACAGGCAATGCATTTTTTACATAATTTCTCCACTAAATATTTCTGATTAAAAAGAAACAGGATTTTTAAGGTTTTGCTATGAGTGCCTTTGGGAGCATAATGCACTGACAAAGAAAACTGAAAAACCTTCAAATGTATCCCAGATTGTGGATGGAAAAAAACCATAATATTTCAACTTGGAGAATCATGTGAAGCTTAGCAATGATATCTAAATGGGTATCAAAACTAATTTAAAGTTATAAAAATACACATAGGACACACGAACAGCAGTGGAAGATTTTGTTGTCTGTTTTGCTGAATCCTACAAATCTCAAGATCTGCAATTGTGTTTCCTGTAGAAGCAAAAGCTAAAGATATCTGAAAATAAAGATCTGAAATAGCTCCTAATGTTTTCTCTACACAGAGACGGATGTGCACCCCTCCTATTTACTGAGGCCAGAGGTGATCTGGAGCTGCCACAACAAAGTACCTCCTCCTCTGGCAGCTCTCCGTGAGGTGAGAAGTGGAGGCTGCACCAAAACATAACTTCAAGATTGTCTTTGGCTCCTTGTCCTCTGCAAAATGTGTAGGCAGCATCTCACTACCACTGAGGGTGAATTCCTATTCAGGGTTTAAGTGCATATTGGGGGGTAGCTATTAATCCACAGGGAATTGCATTGCACTGGTCTCTACTAGGGAAAAACCCCTCCTTCTTTCATTGAGAGACACTGTGCCATTTCACCATGTGATTAATTTCCTCTGCTATTTTGACAGAGTGTGTAGACTTTTATAACTTCATTTATAAAAGCAGGCAGTGATCACAATTTGCAGTGGACCTCAGGAGGAACCATTAAGTGTTCAGAATTTCAAAAAAAAACCCCAAAACCAATGCAGGTACTTAGAGCACAATATGAGGATGGCTTGTGTCTTTGCCACCAAATTTTGACTGCAAAGGGAGGTGTCAAGCTGGGTTATCATATTAGGCTGAGTATACATTAATTCTGAGTAGACTGCTTTGCTTAAAAGAGCCAATCAGCCTGTTAAATTTTGTATGCATCCAGAGAAACTGATAATTAGTAAATTATAAGTAAAGAAGTAATTTTGTACCTACACTACATTTGGAAAAAGTGTTTCTTCAGAAAACTTGGCAAACTATAAAAGAGGATTCTTTTCTTTCTTTCTTTCTTTCCTCTCCTCCTAGTTCCACCTGGTGTTTCTGTGCGGTATTGTTTTCCTTAGCTACCTTCAATGTTAAATAATTCATAAGTTATATCTCTGGTGCTAGATACTTACAGGCCTCCCCTCAAAACAATTTTCTCTCAATATTTCAGACCGATTTTTTCAATCCCTGCTGCTAGAAAATATGAGTTAGTCTGTAGAAGTGCCTAACATAGGAGCACGTTGAGTAAGATCAGCATGAAGAGGATTGGGGCACAAGGTTCCCTAGGAAGGTGAACCCTGGTGTGAACTGGAAACATTGCAGCATTTCTTGAGCCAGGTATTTCCAAGCTGATGGAAGACAGAATACCATTTATGCTATTTTTTTTTTTAATCTCACATAGTGCAATAAAAAACCTGACAGCACTTCTTTATATACTGAATTTTGTCTTTTTCCACCTTTTCAATGTCTGCGTATTGAAAATGCAGTGTTGATGTGCTGGAACTGTTATTACCAGGCACTTACAGAATGCAAGTACTTCAGCTTTTCTAGAGATGAGTCTGAATTTTAAAGATAAATATATACAGGAGAAGGATAAAAAGCATAGGAAGAAGCTAAATACCATTTTTCCTATTCCTCTTTGCAGGCACCAGGGAAGTAGTTATGCTAAATGACAGAAGGGAAGAACTATAGCTCCTATAGTGAGCGCAATTTTGAAAGCTCCTCTGTAGGACATATTTCTCCATGTGCCTTGGCTAATTCCTTCTCTTCCTTTATGTGACATTAAAGTCAAGAAACCACAAAACTGTTTTTGGTCA